TTCCTTCCCCGCCTGTGACGGGACAGCATGGAATCCGGAGGCATCGACTGAGTTTTAAACCATGTTTTCACTTCAGAGATCGTGACCGGCTTCCTATGTCGACACATGTATTCTGCAGAATCGATTTTCTCATCACTTCTTTTTCAGTTAGGAAAAATACAAACACACACCAATCCAAGCGTCCTTCCTCGTAGACGGGACTGAGGGTGGAGGGTCCAGCCGCCCTTCCCAGCCCCCAGAAGCAGCTGCCGTCAGTGGTTTGGCGGATTCTCTTCAGATTTGTTTCTTTAAGGATCTACAAGCGTCCGCCGCGCTGTTTTCACAGAACCAGCATTCCATTTCACGGCGGCCCCGAGGAACCTTCCGGTCAGTCCTTGTAAAGGAACGGGCTCCTTCTAATGGCTGTAAGACATCCACTGTCTGGATAGACCACAGCTCACTTAGCCCATCTCCGCTCCTCTTGGGATGGTTCCGATCTTTTTTTCTATTACTGGTGGGCTTCAGAAGATACTCTTGTAGCTAATCTGTGTGACCACCCACAATTTAATTTTTTTTTCAGCCCAGAGCCCGACGTGGGGCTCGAACCCACGAAACCGTGAGACCATGACCTGAGGCCAAACCAAGAATCGGAAGCTTTAACGTAAACTCCTGGGAGTGAAATGAGGGTCATGGGGTGAGCCCCTGTGGCTGACAACTTTAATGCACTTGAGCCTGGTTTAAGGCTGAGAGACGGTTCCCGGGAGGGAAGTGTGTGTTCCAGGCAGAGGGAACAGCACAGGCAAAGGCACGTGTGCGAGGCATCAAGAATTCTCTAACGGCCTTTTTGGGGAAACTCCTTGCTGTTTGTCTAGAATTCCAGGAAAATGGCTCGGAATGACCTGGCTGTTCTTCTATGTGTTCCACTCCTTCCTGGGGAGCCCTCTACTCCCTGAGCAGTCTGGGCATCAGCCCCCCACTGGTGTGCTGCCCAGGCCACACCACACACCCACCAGATCCTCTTTCTAAAGCTCAGCTGAGATCTCTCCTGGCTCCTGCCCTGGTCTCCTGAGCAGTCAAGGGCTCCGGTGCCTTTAGAAGACTCTGGTGGGTCTTGGGTCCCCTACGCTGACCCTGGCCGGCACCGGGCTCTGCCTCACTGCTGGTAAGCCGTTGGCTCCATATACCTCTGGCCAACCCAGACCTTCATCTTTCTCTGATCCTGTCTCCTCGATTCCCTGCCCACTCCTTTCCCTTTATTGGTCCTGCCCTTCCCTCTGGGGTGGTATGTGCCCACACCGACTGGGGGCCCATCCAGGGAAGTCTAGGTCATGATGGTGGGGGGGGGGTCTGATTCTTGAGGGGACACAGGGAAGTACATTTGGTTTCTCGGGAATGTTCAGAAGAGGTCCCATTCTTCTAGATCCCTCCACTTCCTCCACGGCCCCAGCACCCTGCCTCCCCACCTCGGCCCATCTGTTTCTTCCAGGCTGGCGCACTTCACTCTGGGTGGTGGCAGGTGGGGACAGGCTGGCCAGGTTGGGGCCAAGTCAGCCACTTGCAGAATTCTAGGCTGACCCTGGGAGACACATTTCCATCCTTATCAGTAATTTCCATGGAGAGCTACCTCGGGCATCTCCCAGTTTGTCCCTCTGGGGCCCTGCGTGGCCACATCCAGGGGGGACTGCCCAGCACAGGGGGCTGGATGTGGCCTGAAGCTGCCATCAGACATTTTATCTGAAAATTCATTCTGATGTTGCATTCAATTCTCTAACGTGCCTGGTTTATTTTAATAGTAAAGTATTTTAGGGACTCCTAGGTGGCTCAGTCGGTTAAGTGTCCGACTTCGGCTCAGGTCATGATCTCACGGTCTGTGAGTTTGAGCCCCGCGTTGGGCTCTGTGCTGACAGCTCAGAGCCTGGAGCCTGTTTCAGATTCTGTGTGTGTCTCTCTCTCTCTGCTCCTCCCCGACCTGTGCTCTGTCTCTCTGTCTTTCAAAAATAAATAAACATTTAAAACATTTAAAAAAATAATACAATATGCTATTTTAATATTGTTAACTTTGTTTTTTTAATTTTTTAATGTTTTATTTATTTCTGAGAGAGAGAGAGAGGCAGCGTGAGCAGGGGAGGGTCAGAGAGAGGGGGAGACACAGAATCTGAAACAGGCTCCAGGCTCGGAGCAGTCAGCACAGAGCCCGACGCAGGGCTGGAACCCATGAACCGTCAGATCATGACCTGGGCTGAAGTCGGACGCTTAACCGACTGAGCCCCCCAGGCGCCCCAAACTTTGTTATTTACTGTTGAGTAACTTGCTGCTCTGGGTGGAGTTCACGGGGACGTCCTGAAGTCTCCCATGCCCCCACCCACGCCCACCCACCTTCCAGCAGTGGGGCCAGGGCAGCGGTCACCGAATAACTTCCGAGGCCAGCATGTGCACTGTCCCCTATGTAGAGTCCTCTAGGGCTGTGTGATCAATCCCACAGCCGGGGGGAGGCCACTAGCCTGGATTTTAAGTGATATCGTTGCTAACAGATAGTGTGACTCACTGTGGCCTCTGCTCTCTGGGCCTCCGTCCCCTTATGCAGCAAAGGGAGGCCACGGGCGGCCTCCACGGGGCTAGACAGCGCCTTCCAGTTCACACACGGTGCCTAGGGTGGTGGGAGTTTCCGGGAGGGGCAGGCAGCAGAAGGGGGTGGCAGGTAGTGGATGGGACCATGGAGCCCCCCTGCCCTCACAGACAGATGGTGAGGGTGGTGCCCCACCGCGCCAGCTGCACGGCCCCCAGCCCAGCGTGAGGAGCACAGCCCAGGCCCTGAAGGAGATGGGACTTCGACCGGGAGCTCCTGGCGTGCAAAGTGCTGGCCCTTCTAGGCGCCTTCTTCGGGGAGAGGCGCCCTGCCTGCGACAGCCCTGGGCTTGTGCTGGTGGCATTGCTCTTAGGCTCAGGACACACGCAGGGCAGCCCCCAAACCCCCAACGACTGTCTTCTGGGGCCACGGGGCAGCCCCGAGCCAGCCTCCCCATAGGGCTGAATCTTCCCTGGGGCGGGGAGGTGTCACCTGCTGGCACTGGCCCCCTTTCTCGGCAACGTGCGAATGGGGTTCAGGCTTCCACTGCTCCCCAGCCCCCACACCACACAGGCGAAGAGAGGTGTGTGCTCTCTAGCTCGGCTTCTCTTCCTCACCCCGCCCTGCTGCAGAAGTGGCCAAAATCTCAATAGTGGTGTGGTTTTGTTTAGCAAACAAAGAGCATGCAAAGCAGCTCCCCATCCGTGTGAGTGTGTGTGTGTGTGTGTGTGTGTGTGTGTGTGTGACCCCAGCACCCTCCCTTGCCCCTGACACGGAGCAAAGGAATAGCCATCCCAGGCCTGGCCCCGACGTGTGGCTTTGGGCAAGCCCGTTGCCCTCTGCGGGCTCCACTGTCCGTGGGCCGGAGAGAAGGAAGCAGGGGGTGTCCAAGGCTTTGTTGGGAAACCCCACAAACTGGGACCCTCCCATGCAAATCTCACCCCCTCACCCCTGCTTTCATACACCTGCCGGGGCACTGCCGGCTACAGTAAACGGAAAGAGCCTCTGGAATGAAGTGCATAGGGGTCCTGCCTGGCCCGACCCGGAGCCTGGGAGTGAGGTTTGCCACTGTCCGGGGGCCTCAGGACCCCACAGGTTCACAGCGGACGGGAGGCCTGGGGGAAGCGTCTGCAGGCGTCATTAGGAGGAAGGGTTGAAGAATGCCACCAGCTTGCCTTGGAGTCAGATTCTAATCCCAGCTCCGCACTTGCCTGCCGTTGGCAAGTTGGCCAACCCTTCTGAGCCTCCATTAGCCCCCTCTGTAAAATGGGATAACGACACTTCCTTTGCAGAGGGTTGTGCGGGTTAGAATCGATGTGTGGGAGCCCTGGGTCACACTCGATCTCCAGAGGAGACTCATTCCGGAGTGTCCATTGCCGTGGGCCAGGCATGGGCTTGGGGCTGAGGGCTGGGGCCCAGAGAATACCTTTTGGCAGAGGGGCGAGTTACCCACATATGACCAGTACAGATTCAATGGGTTCTGAGCTGGAAGTGGGAAGCCCAAGGAGCTCAGCCTTCAGAGATGGGAGAGCTTCCGGCTGGAATAACCAAGGGCGGCTTCATGGAGGAGGCAGCATTTGAGCGGGCCCCAAAGGATGAGCAGGACTTCCAAAGGGGACATTCATGGCCTTGCTCACTGCTGCATGGATAGCCTCAGGGAATCCTCCCAGTGAACAAGGAACCTCTGTCACATTCTACAGCTAGTGAAGGGCGGCATCAAGCTTAACTGGGTCACATCTGCAAAGCCCCTTTTGCCATAGATGGTTCCGAGGATTAGGATGTGGATGTCATCTTTGGGGACCATTATTCGGCACATGGCAATGACATCGAGAACCGTGAGATGGGAAGATTACTGTGGGTCATCTGAGTGAGCCCCATGTGATTGCAAGGGTCCTTATAAGAGGGAGGCCAGAGCAGGGGTCAGGACAGCCTGCCATCCAGACGGATGAAGCAGCCGCAAGCTGGGGGTGGCCCATGGCCTCCCCTCCCCCCCACCCCCCGGAGGCCCCAGCAGGAATACAGTCCTGGGAACTCCTTGACTTTAGCCCCGGGAGGAGTCATTTTGGGTTCCCGACCTCCAGAACTGTACAAGGATAACTTGAAATAGATACCAGCTCGCAACTGCATTCGCCTCCCCCTTGCCGGCAATCTTCGGGTCTCTGATGCTTTATTCCAGCACTTACCAGTTTGGTCTGAGCACACGTCTCCCAGCCTGTCTGCCAGCAACTCCACAGCTTTCTCTGTTTTTCTGTTTTTTGGGGTTTTTTTTTAGTTTTTAATTTTTTTTAGTAATTTCTACACCGGACACAGTGCTCGAACTCACAACCCCGAGATCAAGAGGCACATGCTCTTTGGACTGAGCCAGACAGGCACCCCAGTTTTCTCTGCCTTTTAAAGCTAGCCTCCATCCCTTCCCAAAGCCCACCATGCACCCATGGTACTTAATAAACGCTGGTCAAGTGTAAATAAATCTGTCTTTATTTTGATTTACAGCCGTTGAGAGGGACAGGCTTTTGGTAGCAGTATCTGCTGGTTTCTCCAGCCCCATGGCCTCGAAGCAGAACTGGACCCCCCATGGCCAGCTGAGTGCCGGTCAGAAGTGTGGGGGGGCAGCCAGCACATCTGCCGGAAGCAGAGGGATGTTGGGCCTCCCGCTGGGGCAGGGGACAGCTCTGGCCATCCGTGGCAGCCAGGGAGAGGCCCACTAAAAACCAAATCGCCACACAGAGGGCAGCGGGCAGGGGGAGGACTTCTCTGCGGATCCCAGTTCCGGTCTATTCTCAGCATCCCCTGTCCACAGGGGGCTACGCTGGCCTTCTGAGCTCTGCCTCAGGGGAGGCACCCAAGCTCTTAGATCTCTAGGTAACTTCAGCTCAGAAAAGACCCTACCCCACTCGCCACACTTTGCAGCAGGAAAATGTTGGTCCAGAGAGGGCAAGCAACTTGCTCGAGGTCACACAGCAATTTCATGAGTCTCAAAACAAGCTGAGAGATTCCCATCCAGTGCTAACTCCAGGAGGCTGGGGGTGTGGGTGCATGGGGCCAGCTTCCCTCTAGGTCGCGGGACCCCAGGGCAGGCTGGCCGGGAGCCGGGGGCAAGGGCAGCCTCACTTGAGATTGTGCTGGCTTTCCCGGTGCCGCCGCAGGTCTACCTTGCGCTGGAAGCCTTTGGAGCACAGCTCACAGCTGAAGGGCTTGAAGCCGGTGTGCTTGCGGCTGTGGGTGATGAGGTTGGAGCTCTGGCTGAAAGCCTTTCCGCACACCTGGCATTTGTGTGGCTTTTCACCTGCGGGGGAGCAAGGACCTGGTCAGGGCCGCCCGCGCCAGGCCCGCCACCCCAGTGCCCTGCAACTGTTCTCAGAACCTCGCCACATGTTATCTCACGGCCCGGCTACGTTCACTTTTCACAAAAGGGAAACAGGAGGTGTGCCTGGGTGGCTCAGTCGGTTCAGCGGCTCAGCCGCTTGTGGGGCGGTTTGTGAGCTCGAGCCCCACATCAGGCTCTGTGCTGTCGGCGCAGAGCCTGCTTCGGATCCGCTGTCCCCCTCTCTCTCTGCCCCTACTTTGCTCATGCACGTGCGCTCTCTCTCTCTCAAAAATAAATATAAAAAAAATAAAAGGGAGGTGAGAAAACTACAAGTCTGTCAGCCCTGCGCCCCCTGAGGTCAGGCAGGGACTGAGTCCATCCTGTTCGTCAACGTGCCCAGCATCTGGTGCAAAAGAGGCACTCGGTTCACAGCCAAGGAGTGAACGACCGGAGAAATGAAGGGATGAAGGAACGACAAATTCACCCGCCATCCCCACGTGCACCCAGAGATCACGCTTTTAGTGTTTCCTCTCCTGGTGTTTTTCCCAGGCACTGAATGTGGACTTATTTTTGTTTAATTTTTTAAATGTTTTTTACTTACTTTTGAGAGAGAGACAGATGGACAGCGTGAGCAGGGGTGAGCAGGGGAGGGTCAGAGAGAGAGGGAGACACAGAATCTGAAGCAGGCTCCAGGCTCGGAGCTGTCAGCACAGAGCTGGATTCTGGGCTCGAACTCACGAACTGTGAGATCATGACCTGAGCCGAAGTCGGACGCTGAACCGACTGAGCCCCCCAGGCGCCCCACTAAACGTAGACTTAAATGACACAGTGCGTCCAGCCCTTCGGGAGGAGGGGAGCACCCCCTCCCCTTGTAACATGACCCCACGCCCCCCCCCCCCCAAGCAGGGACCTTTTAACAGTGAAGGGTGGGGGCGCCCAGAGGCTTGGCTCGGGCAGGGGTGGGGCTGCCCGGGGAACCGGGCGCCTCACCGGTGTGGATGTAGGTGTGTTTCTTCATGTCCGACTTCTGGTGGAAGCGCTTGCCGCAGAACTGGCATGGGTAAGGCCGCGTGTCCGAGTGGATGAGCAGGTGCGTGGACAGAGTGGACGAACGCTTGAAGGCTTTGCCGCACATCCGGCACTCGAAGCTGCGCTCCTGCCGGAGGAAACGAGGCCCCGGGGGGTCAGGCGCAGGCGGGGCCTCGAGACCCGGGACTGCCACGCTGGCCGCAGGACCGGGCCCGGCCGGGATCCCCTGAGGAACAGGACACTCGTTGGGGCGGCCTCGAGAATGAGGCCTGGAGCGAGGAGCCGGACCCAGAGGCCCCCGTTTCTGCATTTCCGACAGGGGCCGAGACATGGGGCCCGAGTGGCCTCCTGTGGGCCTCTCCCTGGAACCCGTACAGTGCCCCAGGCAAAATAAGCATTTGTTGACTGACTGACTGACAGACCGACTGATCTAGGGCACGGTCGTGGGCTCTGGTCAAGAGTCTGTATATTGGAGCTCAATTCTGCCTTCTGCCCCTTCTAAGCCAACATGCCCTCAGGCAAGTCATTAAACCCCTTGAGACTCAGTTTCCTCATCTGGACACTGGAACAGCAGTAATGACCTCCAAGGGTAGAGAGCTGAGCCGGCATCTGGCACCTGGCTGCGCTCACAAGCTCTCATGGTCATATCCTGCCTTTCCCGCCTGAGCTTTTATTTACTCCCGTGTTAGTGACTCAGGGCATTTCGGGTGCTTTCCCTGGGATGGAATATTCAAGAAGGGCTAAGCGGGACAAGACAGACATGTCAGCCTGACCCCAAGATTCTCAAAGTTGAGAGCCTCAAAGCTGAGGACACTTGCGCTGACCACACAGAGGGCAGGATCATCTCTCAGCACCATGGACATCTCTCTGCCCCCCAAAATCCCACTGGCCCAGGAGCCGCTTCCAACAGCACGTGAGGCTGATTTGGTCCATCAGGGAGTAAAGTGTGTTAAGAGTTTTATATATATATTATATATATAATACAAATATTGAATACAAATTATATTGTAGATTATATATAAATTATAGTATATATTATATAATACATATTGTAATTTATATTATATATTATATATAGTTTGGGGAAAACTATAACATAACTAGATTAAAGAACAAATATTCTCTAAAGAGCAAAATAAAAATATCTATTATGTAGTAATGTTTAACAAGAGCGGGTTTGGGGAACCCAGATGGGGGAGTGCAGGACCCCTGATCTGCGTCACCCTCAGGGGCAGGGCGAGTGACCCGCAATAGCCCCAAGGCGTCCAGTGGGTGGCCCAGAGCAGGGGTGGGAAGTGGGGGCTCCTGGGCCTGGCCGGCTGCCCACCTGCGAGTGGACGTGTGTGTGCTGCTCCAGGCTCACGGCGTGGCCGAAGGTTTTGCCACAGACGTCGCAGGCGAAGGGCCGGGTCCCGCTGTGGGAGCGGCGGACGTGCACTTCGAGCCCGTGTGGCGTGGAGAACACCTGAAGGCATGGCAGAGCGTGAGGCCACAGGGGGCTGGGGTCCCAAGGCCACCCCACCCCTCCACCTCCATGCCCAGGCACAGATGGGCATAAAGGAGGGGAAGCCCTGGGTTGCCGATTCTGCTGGCATTTGCTGTGTGTCCGGGGAGGGTCCCTTTCCCTCTCTGGGGCTAGGTTTCCTGTCTATACACTGGGGGCTGTGGGAGCAGGTAAAAGGACCCTCCTGGCCCAATCTAGAGGCTGAATAGCCTAGTGGTTAAGAGCCAGGAGTCCACCAGAGCCAGGTTTGGATGCTGGTACTGATATCTACTTGCTGTGTGTTCTTGGGCAAGTGACTCAACCTCTCTGAACCTTAGCCTTTCATCCACTCCCCAGGGCTCAAGCATGCCAAGTGCTTAGCACAGGAATGGCGCACAGTCAGGGCTCAACAAACCATGATGGGGACGAACATTTTGAAGCCCCGACCCCACCAAAGGACCCAAGATTCACAGCATGGGGACCCCCGGCTGTGAACGCCTGGCACCTGTCAGGGGCCTGCAGAGGGGATTTGGAGCAGGGTCCGGGAGCCCACCCTCACGCCAGCTGCTCACCTTGTTGCACTTGATGCAGTGGTACGCGTCCATGCCCGGGGAGCAGTGGAGGCTGAAGTCCAAGGGCGGCTCAGCGCTGGGCACCAGAGGGCTGCCGTACAGGCTGACGGAGCGCTCGAGGAAGGCAGACTGCATGGTGGAGGGGGCCTGCCGGTAGCTGTGGCCATAGGATGAGGCCAGGGCACCCCAGGAGAAGCTGGGCTTGTAGAACGGGGGTGAGTCGGAGTCCCCGTCCTGGGATCGGGGCATTATAGCAGGGCCCTCTGTGGAGAGCGGGACACCGCATGGGGGGGATTCGTTTATTTATAATTAGGGTGCTGGTCCCCACAACTCCCCACCCGGTGACCTTACGCTGTGGGTTTTGGCGTGTGGCCCAAAATATTTACTCTGGGAGAGGGTCTGGGCCCTCACTGTGGCTCCTCAGCTTTTCAGCCCGGAAACATGCCCTCAGCACGTGCAGAGTGCCCGCCTCACCCACCTCATCAGCCTGCCCTCAGTTGGGAGTGAGCTCCCCGTCCCGGGAGAGGTCCCGGCAGACGCTGGGGAGCTCAGCTTGGGTCCAGATGACCTTGGCGCTCTTTCCTGACTCCACATCTCCAAGGCTCCCAGCCTCCAGAGCCCATCCCCCCTCCGTCCCACTTGCACGGGGTGGGGGGTGTAGACGGCCGGGGGTCCCAGCCTGGGTACCTGGCACCAAGGCCGTCCTGGTCAGGGTCTGGTCCAGCTCCAGCTCTGGCTCCCGTTTGAGGTCAGTCCAGGCCAGGCACTGGTTTTGGAACAGGGTGCTGAGGACAGGGTCGTTGCTCAGAACCTGGCCCCTGGTCCCTGTGGGGAGATAAGACCTTCAGAGCCTCCAGCCACAGCTCTGGGCAGTGCAGAGGGAGTGGGGGGTGGGGGGACTCCCTTCCCATGAGGAGGGGTCCCGGAGACCCATTTGCTGCTGTCCCCAGCCGCTCGTGTGCACGGGCCCCGACCAGGCCCTGGGATGGGGGGAGCAGGGCGGAGGCCAAAGGGGACCCAGGAGAACTCGTGGACCAGCCTTGGTTTTGTGAGCATCTGAGCTCGGCCCGAGATCTTTTCTGACTCCGGTAAGGACCCACATGTCTGCTGGGGACCAGCTCCAATCCTGAAACTCCCACCATCCCGCGGGGCCAAAAGAGATGGGCGCATTCATTCATTCTTTCAACCAACATGTGCTGAGTCCCCCTGCTTGCAGACTTGGAAGGGGGGGCTACTCAGGAGGGCCGCTGTTGCATCCCCAACACGGGGCGGGGAGCCCCGGGTGCGCGCGGCAGGGGAGCCCTGACTCACCAGGACTAAAGGCAGCAGGCCAGACCGGTTCATCTTCCTGGATGCGGGGCTGGTGGTAGGTGTGAGCTTTCTTGCTCTTTACCAGGAAGGAGCGTGGCATCGTGAGCGTGCGGCCCGCACCTGCATAGGGACAGGGCAAGGACGGTTAGGAAGCACTCTCCGTGTTTTGGGGCCTCTCCCTGAAATCAGAATCCAGAGTCCGGTGTTGAATAGTTGAAGTTCATGGCTCCCTGGAGCCTGCAAATGTGATCTCATTTGGAAATAGGGTCTTTGCAGATTAAATAAAAATTTTTTTTATTCTAATTTTGAGGGGGGAGGGAGAGAGACGGAGTGGAAGGAGAGGCAGAGAGAGAAGGAGACAGAATTGGAAGCAGCTCCAGGCCCCGTGCTGTCTGCACAGAGCCTGACGTGGGGCTCGAACCCACGAATCGTGAGATCGTGACCTGAGCTGAAGTTGGACGCCCGACCGGCTGAGCCACCCAGGCGCCCAGAGTCTTTGCAGATTTAACCAATCTAGGATGAAGTCATACTGAGTTAGAGGGGACCCTACATCCAATATATCTACTGTTCTTATAAAAAGAGGGAAATGTGGACACACAGTTACAGAGGAACAACATCGTCCCGAGGCAGGAACGGAGATGGGAGGGATACAGCTACAAGCCAAGGGGCACCAAGGGTCACTGGCACCCCCAGAAGCCGGGGGGGGTGGGGAGGCAGGAAATAGACTCTCCCTCAGAGCCTCCGGAAGGACTAGTCTTGTTGGCACCTTGAGGTTGGATCTCTAGCTTCCAGAACCCTGAAAGAATATATTTTGTGTTGTTTTAAGCCACTCTCTTTCTAGTACTTTCCTACAGCAGAAATCCTAACCTTCCCTCCCCTACTACTCCCTTGACAGGAAACTAACCTATCCACCTTCTAGAAAACCCCGAAGGTCAGCCTGCTCCCTCCTGTCCACATGCTCTGAATTGCACCGGGGGCAGAGAAGGAAGGGCAGGGCAATCTCCCCTGAGGACCCCGCAGCCAGAAAGCTGCATTTCACCCGTGTGGGGTCTGCTGAGTACAGGTTTTGGAGTCAGATGCTCATGGGTTAGAATCTCAGCTCGCCTGCTGTGCACTTTGGGGGCAGATGCTTAACCTCTCTGGGCCTACTCCCTTTTCTGTACGACGCGGCGTCCAGGCGGATAGTGCCAGCCGGTGCGTCTTATGTGCTCGGTGCTGACCATGGAGGGGGCGGGGGGCAGGCAGGTTGCCTCGGGGCCGCCTCAATAGCAAATCCACATTAGCCCCGAGCCGATGCGGCCAGAGCAGGCCTGCCCCCTGTCCACGGCCCCAGCTGCGAGCCCAGCGCCCAGGGACGGAGGAGCCTTCTCTCTGCATGGGGGTGGGGAGGGCTGCGTGGAGCTGCATCTGAGGCTCAAGGCCTGAGAAGACCACCACACCCTCCCGGGAGGTCTGACGTGGAGAAAGAGCCCAGTAGTCCACCGCGGGTCAGGGGGCTGGGGAAGACACTGAGGACCAAATCAGCAAAGGGACCTGTGCCTGGTCCCAGGTGGGGGTCGGGGCGTGGCAGAGCCAGACCAGCCTGAACGCCCTGATACCCCTGGCTTCCCTGGAGGGCTCCCGGGAGACGGAGAGCATTGGGTGGTCCTCTCTCCCCCTCGCCCCCCGGGCTGTTCCCAGGCAGGAAATGCTTGGCCGATGCCGTTCCTGGCAGCGTCTCTGCTGGTGCCTTTCCCGGGCACTGGAGCAGGAGCCCCCGTCCCCAGGCCGGGCCGTGTATGGCTGCAGGGGAGATAGCGCCCAGCGCGGGAAAAGGATTACAGCTGCTCTAACAGCCAGGGCCGACGATAAGGGCAAGGCGCGGAGCCAGCTGGGAGGAGGGAGATTAGAGAGAGCAGCTTGGAGCTCTGCCTTTGGAGCGGGCCCAGGGAGTCGCCCCTTACCCAGGGGCATGGGGGGGACCCCAAATCAGCCAGGAGAGGGACCCCCGCCGTGCCCGTCTGCCCCCCACCGGAGCCCCCGGGGCATCAGGAGTCTGGAGAGGCCTCTCTGCTCCCGGGTCATCCGAGGCCCTGCCCTCCTCAGTCGGTGTCAGTGTCCAGATCTGCTAAATGGGGATCGCGACCCACCTTCCTGCGATTGTTGGGGCAGGACGGAGCCCCGTTCCAAACAGATGCGCAAAGTGCGTGGCGGGGGGCCTGGGCTGTAGGAGCCCTGAGCGGACATTGGCGTCTCAGCCCATGCGAGAAGAAGCTTCAGGAAGGCGGGCACAGCCCACGTCCTGCTCCGTCCTGTGCTGTCCAGCTGCGCCCCCAGCACCCCGCCCAAAGCAGGTGCACTCTGAGGACGGGGACGAGCCCTGGGCCAGGAGCGGTGACATTTTCAGGCCCTTGCCCTCTGGGATCCGAAATGATGAGGTGGGGCTTGAGGGCTCTGGGGTCCCGTCCAGCTGTCAGATTTTGCCTTCGCAAGGCTCGCAGGGCCTGTTGTCCCGCCCCCACCCCCGCGTCGGGCAGCCTGCGGTGCCTTATCTCCCAGGGACAGTCTTCTTCCTCTTGCCCTTGCCCCTCCCCCCCAGGGCTCCTCACAGCCCCCTTCCTTCCCCTTCTAACTCTTGGCCCCAGGACCCCCCCTGGGGAGATCAGACCCTGGGAAGAGCCACGGGGGACCCCCATATCCAGGGGGAGGCGGAGGCTGGCTTTTTTTGCCTTTTGTTGGGGGGGGCTCCAAGGGGCCGTGGTCTCTCTATCAAAAGATGATTTATTATTTTTATATAGTGTTTTATTAGGAAGCCAACTTGAACCGAAGGCAGGCATTAAACTTCTGCAGGAGATCCCAGGATCAGAGTGGGCTTCTCTCTTAATTCTGACCTGTGAGCTGAGTGGCTCCTCTGCCCCATTTCATGAAGGAGAACTGGAGGCTTAGAAATGGCTCATGGTGGCCCCCGCCCCCACACTTACTCTGTGCGGAAGAACTCCTTTCACATGCTAAGGAAGGAAGGCATTAGAAGCTCCCCGGTGTGCAAAACTGACACCCACGGGGTGGGGGGGGGGAGGAAGGGAAGCAGAGATTGTCTTCCAAGATCACAGGGGGAAACTGAGGCTGAGAGAGGAAAGCAGCTTGTCCGGGCCCTGTGTTCTTTAATCTCTCTGTCTTTTTTGGAACCCAGAAGCTTCATATGGGTTTATAAAGAGCTTTGCATGGAGAAGCAGGTGAGGAAGACTTCCTTCAGGAAGCTTTGGTGTTCCCTTGGGCTCAGAGCCTGAGGACACCATAGAGGTCAACTGGTTAGAACCTAGGACAGCACAAGTTCATGAGCAAGGGGTCCCAGCTTCCAGGGTCCCTGGCTGGAGGAAGCCGATTCTCATGATCCCCTCAAAGCCCCCAATTTCCTCCTCTTCCCTCTCCAGAAAGTTCTCTCGGCTACGCCTGGCCGGGAGGCACAGCCAGCCTCATGCCCCAGCCTTCAAGCTCCCATGGGGGCCAAACACACCACGAGAACTTCCTTTTGGCCCCTGTTCGCTGAGTTTAAAAAAAAAAAACAAAACAGGAACCAATCACCTATACTGTAGTTAATTAACAACCACACCGTTTTGATTCACACGACGGTTCTGAGAAAGAGCTCGGAGCAGAGATTGTGAAAGAACCCTAAGATTTCTTCATGAAACAGAGGCCTTGATGGTATCGGCCTCCGGAAGAAGACTTGCTGTTAACATCTCTTCCAAAACCCTCGATCCCGATAGAGGGTGTCCCAACCCCGGGTCAGAATCTCGGCCCCACACCCGAACTTCCAGGCAGACTCAGAGCTGTGACCTTGTGATTTCCCCACGAGGCGCTGCGGGCCTCCCGTGGGGCTGAGTCTGATTTTGTGACCTTGAGCTTGACCACGTCGGCCTCCAACCTGGGGCTTGGTTTTCCTATCTCTCGAAAGGGACCGTTGGACTAAGAGATTTCTAAACTTCCCTTTTGCTCTAAAATCCCATGCACGGTTTGTTGACCTTCAACGCAGGACTGACCTACCTTGACTAAGAAACTCTTCACTGGGTTCCCTTTTTGGGAGGGTTGGGCAAGACTCCGTTGTTTCTCAGAGTCAGTGATAGACGACCCTGGGGACTTCCTTTCTGTTTAAAGATGTGACTCAAGGGAAAACACAAACAAGCAAAAGCAAATAAACAAACAAAACCCTCTTTTCCATGTAGGGGTCAGGGGAAACGGGTCTGGGTGACATTAGGGGCTCCGGGCAGAGAGCGATCATTAGTCTTATTTGAAATTTGCAAACACTCTTCAAATGTCTCCTCTTAAATTCAGAGGCTGCAATTAGCATAAGTGAGTGGAGGAGCTTCTGAGTTTGTACCCAAGAGAATTGAAAGCGGGGACTCAAACAGGTATCTGTCTACCAAATTCACTGCAGCGCTATTCATAATAACCAAAGGATGGAAGCAAGCAAATGTCCGTCAGCAGGTGATGGATAAAGGAAATGTGGCAGGTCCATACAATGGAGCATTTATGTAGCTGTAGAAAGGAAGGAGGTCCTCACACCTGCTACAAAACGGATGGACCTTGAGGGCATATGGAAGCGAAATAAGCTTATGAGGTCCCTAGAGAAGTCAGGTTCATACACACAGAAAGGACGGTGGTGGGAGCCAGGGGCTGGGGCGGGGGGGGGGGGGGGGGGGGGGGGGGGGGGCAGGGCGGGCAGTTAATGTTCAATGGGGACAGAATTTCAGTTTGAGAAAATGAAGAGAGTTGTTAAGATGGACGGTGGAGACATTTGCACACCGTTGTAAATGCCTTTAATGCCACAGATCTGTGCCCTTAAAAATGGTTAAAACAGTCGCTTTCCTGTGCTATATATTTTACTACAAGAAAAACCAAACTTAAGGAGCGTCACATTTCCTGAGCAGCTCCAAATTGGCGCAGCCCCCACTGGTCTGAATTCCTGAAAACAAATGGACAAAAAACCTCCCTCTAAATTAAGGACGGTAAGGTTTCCTGTCGTGTCTGAAAAGGGTTGAGATCACATGTGATGAGGCTGTTTTCCTGGTGGCGATCTGGCCCCAGACACGTCGGGGGTCCTTGTGTTCTCCGAGGGGACCCCAACCCCACCCAACCTCCTGAAAGCCTCGAGGAAATGTTCTGCATTGTTTATGAGTAGCTCCATCCACCAAACCCAAGTCGGATCCGGCTCTCTGATGCTCCTCAGGAATGTTCTGCAGGGAGACCAGCATGCTGGCCCCCGGAAAGAGTCCCTGTGTCCCACCTCTGAGGACAAGGAACTTGCCAGCTCACTAAGACTGAAACCTTCTCCCCGTTCGCTGCCGACGAAGGAATATTAGGAGGCGTGAGCCCCGGTGGGCAGGTGCACCTCAGATAGCTTGTACCAGATCCAAGTACGGAGCCTGCAAATTAATTTTCCCTCCTCTGGGAAACTCTTGAACGTTTCAGACTTTCTCAGAAAACTGACCACCCTTCGCCTTAACAAACCTTATTTTAGAGCCGGTATCTTACCCCAGACGCCCAGACTATAAACTTGGCTTTTTCTCCAAAATTAGGTAGAAAAGACTGGGACGCCACGTGCCCTTTTACAGCCTCTTATTCCTGGAAGCTGGGGGCCCGGGGGCGGTGGACAAGCTGCTCTCCCTCTCCCCTCATGAGGCTCTGGATGAGAGGGCACTCGTTCTCAAAGTGACCCAGGAACTTGAATTCACACCTATTTTATAGACAAGGAAAGTTCAGAGTGCTGGGCGGCGGGGGGGGGGGGGGGGGGGGGGGGGGGGGGGGGGGGGGGGGGGGGGGGGGGGGGGGGGGGGGGGGGGGGGGGGGGGGCGTACAGTCAGTCTGTGCCCCAGGACTTCCCCCCCACTGAAGCCAGGCACCTCGAAGAGCGTCTTCCCATGCTCTGCCCAGGTCCCTGGGTATGAGTTCGCACACGCAGGTGATCCCTGGTGATCGAGTTTTGGAAAGGGTACTTATGCAGGGTTGGCAGGGGGCGTAATTCCCATACGGCTCTGTCTCCCACTGGGTTCAAAGACTGAAAGCTGCACCATGAAAGAGTTCCCAGCCCACCTTATTCTTCCCAGGACTGCAGGAGGGCCCGAGGAACCCGCCTGGGAACAATCTAAGTCAGACATGCAAATTTAGAAAGAAGAGGCTGGAAGGGAGCACTCACCCGGTGTCGCTCGTGGTCTTGGTGGGAACCTCTCTCAGCCTCTCTGGGGATCGGCTCCTCTCCGTCAACCTCGGACTCTGTGCTCCAGTAGATACTTCTCCTTTTTTTCCCCAACCCTTTCCCTCTCTCACTCTCTCCGTTTTTTTTTTTTTTTTCCCTCTTCTGTTCCCCTCCTTGATTTTCAATCTGATTATTTGTGTCAAAATCTGGCGGTGAAGGCACAGCCAATAGAGAGCGCCCGAGCGCGGGGCACCATTTGCTTATCAAAGCTTCCCCGGCTACAAGGCGCGCTCCCGCCAGCCAGCCCTCCATCCTGGGGGCCGTTCTGCTCGCTCCGCACCCCGGACCTCCAAACAGCGTCTGCTGGAAGAGAAAGCAGTGGCTACGCCATCCCATTTTAAAAGTGAAAAGTTAAAATAGAGCACTTACTTGTACACCTGATTTTGTAAAAACTCGTCACTTCTTTAGTCCTTCCTTCCTCTCTGTCTCTCTCGGTCCATCCCAAGCCGGGAGCGCCGGGCTTCAAAGGGCCCTGAGAGAGCCTCCGCCTGTCCTTGTGGAGGTGGCCTTTGAGAAGAGAGGTCAAATGCACGCTTCCCTAAACTTGACCCCAGAACAGGTGAAGGGTCAGCCCAGGCGCTCCCCTTGGCCTGAGCCAGCCCCCTCGGCCAGCTCAGCCACCTGCAGCTCTTCCCCAGGCCCCGCGTGTGTCGCCATCTGGTGGCCTCAAGGATATGGGGGGGGGGAGCTGGGGACAGCCAGTCTTGGACATCACATCCCATTTGGCACAGAGCCCCGTCCCCTGATCCCCCACCTTCTTCCTCCTGTGCCCCTCAAGCGTCCCAGGGCTTACGGGATGACTGATTTATTTCAGGAGGTTTTGCATAAGAGGAGAACTCACAAAACAGAGCACTGTTAGGCTGATTTGCATGCCTTCCCAGCCCAGCGCGGGAGAGATTAGGTTTCCCTCATAAAGAAAACATGTTTGGAGACAGGAAGCCCCGAGTTAAAATGCAGGTCCCGACAGGGGGAGAAAGGGAGTCTTGGGCGAGGCTGGTCTGTGACTGGGTCCCGCCTGGAGGTCATCTGGGCCTGCCTGACGCTGCGGGGGCGCGGGTCCCAGCACAGGCCGCACACAGGAGACTACGGCCCTCAGCCCTTGGCCTCTCCTTGGTGGAGAGAGAGTGTAGAAGCATCTGGAATATTCTTTGGATGTTGCATACTGCCAACAGTCAGCTGGAGCTGTTTGTCATTATGCAGAAAACTTACAAAATAATCCCAGGACATTAAGAAAAAAAATCCCATTTCTTCCCCATCCTCACTGTATTATACGTGCATATCTATATTTTGCTTATGTAGGGGCTGTCTGGGTGGCTCAGTCCGTTGAGTGTCCGACTTCGGCTCGGGTCATGATCTCACAGTCCGTGGGTTCGAGCCCCACGTCGGGCTCTGTGCTGACAGCTCCGAGCCTGGAGCCTGCTTTGGATTCTGTCTCCCTCTCTCTCTGCCCCTCCCCCGCTTGCACTATGTCTCTCAAAAATGAATAAACGTTAAAAACATATTTTGCTTTTCCCGTGGGTCTTTCTTTTTCCACCGAGTGTTATTTTATTTAGAGCCTCCCAAATTCTCCTGCGTCTTTTACTAACATAGTTAGTGGATTCGCAGCTCTGCATGGCTGACTTTACCAACCACTCTCTGCATTTGGGGTATTTCATTGTTTGGGGTAAAGCTGCTGAATGCGGTAGACGCAGGCCAGAGGCCACTCTAAGGTTATGATGCCACAACTTTATCGTCCCTCCTTTAGTAACCAACTCAGGGACTCTCTTCCTAGACTGGGATCCCCGCCTGGAATGGGAGTGAAAGCAGGCCTTCTCAGGAGCCGCCCGGATCCCTGTGCAGGAGAGGAGGGTCCAGGCCTCCAGAGCCCCCAGAGCCCCCAGGCTGCATCAGGCATGCCCTTGCCGTCTGAGACCTCCCAGCCTTGCGGGTCTCCTCCAACACCACTGGCCTTAGCAGGCAGCCTGGGAAATGAAGCGCCATCTCCCAAGGGCTCGATGCCCCCAGCATCCCTGGGCCAGTCCAGCCACTTGTTTATTCAAGTTACTACTGACACCTTTCGTGTTCCACGCTCCCCCTTCTTCCCTCTTTCCCTCTGCACTCCCTCCCTGTCTTAGTCATCTTGCGCTGCAACCAAATACCACAGACCGGGGGACTTAAACAACGTGCATTTCTCGCAGAGACCAGGAAGGTCAAGGTCAAGGTGCCTGCAGAGTCTGCTTCTGGTGGGGACATGCTTCTTGGTTTGCAGCTGGCCACCTTCCTGCTGAGTCTTCACTTGCCAGAGAGGCAGGTAGAGAAGGATGGAGGGAGAATTGGAGAGCGAGAGAGAGAGAGAGCGAGAGAGAGAATGAGAGACGCTCAAGCTCTGGCTTTTTGTACTTTTCTTGTAAAGACACTAATTTCATCATGAGAGCCCCACCCTCATGAGCTCATCTAACCTAATCACCTCCCCAAAGCCCTCACCTCCAAATGCCACCATACTGGGATTAGGGTCTCAGCATGAATTTGGGGGGGATTCAGTCTCTACCTGTATTCGCTAATACATGTCTATTGAGCGCCTGCTAGGTGCCACATGCTGGGGTTTCCAGCAAGAACCAGACAGGGGGGCGCCTGGGCGGCTCAGTCAGTTAAGCGTGCAACTTGGGCTCAGGTCATGATCTGGTGGTTTGTGAGTTCGAGCCCCGCGTCGGGCTCTGTGCTGACAGCTCAGAGCTTGGAGCTGCTTCAGATTCTGTGTCTCCCTCTCTCTTTACCCTTCCCTTGCTCTCATTCATATATATGTATATAAAACCAAGCACGAGCCATCGTGAGCTCCTTCCTGGTCTAGCGGGTGGGACACAGTACCCTGAAATTTACAAATCGGGCTGATAAGTGCTGTGATGTATAATTGTATGCAAAGGAGCATGGACATGGGGAAATGAACCCAGACTTGGGGAGTAAGGAGAGTTAATGAAGCTAGTGGAAGTGACATCTAGGTTGCCAGGTGAGTTAGTTGGGAGAAGGAAAGTACGGAAGAATGTCTAAAAAGAGGAACACCATCATCAAAGAGCTGGAGGCAGGACCTTCAGGGAACTGACAGCAGCCAAGGTCAGTACGGGTGGAGGGTAGAGGGTAGAAGAAGGGAGGGGAGGGCGGAACATGGGAGAGATGAGTCTAGAGAAGAAAGGAGGAGCAGGTCAGGAAAATTCCTCCCTGATTTAAAAACCTTCAGCGATTTCCCTTTACCTAATAGGGCACAAACCTCGGCTTCAGGGACCAGCATTCAGTGTTTGTCACAGTGTCAGACCTCTTTCGAACGACAGCACTTTTTGGGAAGCAAGTTGCAGAACCCCCATTTATACGAGTTTGATAACAACAACAAAACCATTAGTTCTTGTCGCTGAAAAGGGTCAGCTTCAGGCATGGTTGGATCCAGATGCCCAGATGATATTGTCTGGATCTCATTCATTCCCGCCTCAGGACATTTGCATTTGCCGTCCCCTCTGCCTGGATGGCCTTACTTCCACATCTCCCCGTGGCTGACTCGCAATGCTTCCTCTGCAGAGACCTCCTTGACCGCCCCCTGAAGCAAGGCCTTCCCCCCCAGCCACTTTCTGCCCCATCATCCTCTTTATTCTTCGTGGTCTTCATAACTATCCGAAATTGTCCTGTGGATTTACTGCCTTCTTATTCGCTGGGTATATTTTTGGCCTGACTGTCTACACCGAACAGAAGCAGACAGGAGCCGGGATGGAGTCTGCCTGGCTCACGGCCAGGTCCCCAAGGCTGCGAACAGAGGGAGGTAGACACCAGCGGTGTTTTTACAGAGTGAAGGAGTGAAGGGGTGAAGACTCCGCGCGTGCATCCGTCTGTCTCCGTCGCTCAGCTTCGCTTTGCTCTCTGCTGGCGTTTACCCGGGGCTGAGATCCGCAACGGCGGGGCCGCGCTCTTACAAACGCCGGTGCGAAGAAGCCCCTTTCCGGGGGGGTTTCAAGAAAAGGCCCAAGCTGACTCTGATTGGCCCAGCCCAGCCCGAAGCCCTCACCCCTGCGCCAATCACCGTCCCGGTGGGCGGGGCCGGGGTCTCTCATTGGCCAGGGCTGGCCCACCCTCCTGCCCAAACCTCCGGGAGCCTGGGGTAGGTTCCGGAGGAGAGCGGTTCTCTGTCTACACAGAGTAAGGCCAGGAGGGGCCCTGGGCCGTGGCTTCCACCTCCCACCGTCCAGTTTCTACGCGTCCTCTCGTTGTCACTCGGACAGGCTGCGTCTAGGCCCTGCTGGAGACCCAATCCCAGTCCCTGCCTTTGCCCTTCCCCTTCCCCGTGTTCAGCTCGGTTCTGCTCTCACCTCCTCCAGGAAGCCTTCCCAGATGCCCACAATCCCCGGGACCACCCACGACAGCGCTTGGATTCTTTGTCAGTGGGCACTCAGCTGCTTCTCGATGGGACCAGCAACTGCCCACAGGGAGGGACGCTAGGGAGTCCTCTGTCGCCGGCAGCGGCGCAGCCTGACCTCCCGACGCTGGCCCGCAGGAAGCGCGGCGAGGCTGAGTGAGCAAAGCTGCTGCTCCCGAGGGCCCGGCAGTGGGCCGTGTGCACAGCCCCCTACCCTCTGGGGCGACACCCCAGACGCGTGCAGGCGGGCTCGGGCGCGGCCAGGGAGGTGAGGACGGCGAACGTGCCCTGCCGGGTGGGCAGCGGGCGTCCGGGCTGTGGTGCCAGCGCACAGCATGAGCAGTGTGACCTGGGGCCCCTTTCTGGCCCCGGCTTAGAACGCGCACAGAGTGCAGGATGCAACAAACGCGAGCTGAGTCCACCCCCCGCCCCGGACTTGAGGACCCCCGGTGGGGGGGGGGGGCATTCGGCGCCCTAGGCCCCCCGCCTCCTGCGACCATCTCTGTCCTGCTGTGACTCAGTCATTCAGGCAGATGGTGGGGTTCGTTCCCGGCCCAGGCTGCTTGCCAAGAGATGCAGGGAGGCGAAGAGGCGGGAGCCCCGCAGCCCGGGACTCGAGGTCGGCGGTGCCCTGGGGGCCAACAGCCCCACCCCCCGGGCGCGCGGCTCTTCCAGATGAAGCAATTCACCAGATCGCCACACGGTGGCGCTCCTGCCTCCTTCTCCTGCGGCAAAAAAAAAAAAAAAAAAAAACCAGCCTGAAAACATCCGACCTTCCGTCCAGCCACCATGCGTCCACCCATCCGCCCATCCATCCATCTAATTACTGCTTACATTACAAGAGTGATCCGAGTAGAAACAAAAAAGTAAAACAGTATGCATCTCCCGATTTGTATTCTTTTAGTTTCTTTTTCCCTCCTCCCTTCCCCCCTCCTTCTGACTTCCCTCTTCCAGGCTCTCTCCCCTCTGCACAAATGTATGCGTCCCTATAATGTTTTTCAATCCGCATAAGTCTTCATTGCTCCTTTGCTATTGAGTCCCACACAGTCAGACAGGCTCCCCCAGTGTGTGAGCTCAACCCTCCTGCCTCCGCAAAGCTCCAGATGGGGACGAAGAAACAGCCTTGGGAGACCATGAGGCCGGGTTCCAGGGTGCGCTCACTTCGC